TATTATGTCACATAAAGGTTATTGCCTTGACATTTCGACACCGCTATCGTTTCGTACGTTCGTTTCACGTGTTTTTGGTCGATCTTTGAATTCGTGCCCCGAAGCGTTAAGTTCTCCATATTACTTTCTCAGTAATATGTCTTCGGGCTCATTGGCTATGACATTAGGCTTTTGAATGAGTCAAGCACTTAATATGTGCCAATTTCAATGCAGTCCTGTGTTAACAACAAAGCTTAGTTACACATGAAAAAAAAAACTGGTCGAGAAGCGTTAAGTGTTGTAGCGGATTTCGTCTTCTGTCTGGCGTTAAATGTAAACATGACAGTTTAGAAACTGTGGGTTCAAAGCATAGCAACCAACACAGCCACAATATTCGGTACGTACTGTAGTTCCAGACAATAGATATGAAAAACAGTTAGCTGAGAAATGTTAAAACTTAGCTTGCAACAATAAAACAGTTTGATTCAGAATTATCATTGAAATAGGCTGTATTAGTAACACAAATATAGGTTAATGGTTTAGGAATTATATTATATTTATTATAACTAAGGTTTACTAATAAGACCAGTTTGCTGGTGCGCCAGTTCTTCTGAATTATGACTAATGTTAATTGATGACAAAATAAATAGTAATATCTAACCTATATAAAAGTCAGTGTGTGTGTCACGTCGCGCTTGATTTCTCGAAATAGGAGGAGTCTTAAAAGCCAAAACACATTTATCCAGATAGAATAGTTTAATTACTGTCTACGATTTTAGTGACGGGAGTGCAAGGGGGCCGTGAAACCTATAAGTATGGTGAGTGTTGATATAATAAGCCAAAAGTAAAGACATAGTGTGGGATCGCCTAGCCTAGAGCCAAGTGTATAAAATTTATCATGAAAGTAAAAATATCGATTCAATTCTAAACTTAAATCGTTTCTGAATTAAGCTATTTTTCTGTTATATCACCAACGTTTTAAATAAAAAACAAACCTCTTTAATCAACGGAGACTTTAAATTGAGAAATCTATATAAATATAACAGTACTGACTATTGTACTCCACGTGACTACTTGGATGGACATAGATGAAAATTGGTATTGAGGCTCATTGGGTCCATGCGGGGGTACATATAAATTTTCAGCTTTGCGGTTTTTACCACTACTTTGCCCCCTGTAAATGGATCTTCACCAAATTTGGCATGAAGGTTTTTTAGGTCCATGCGGAGGTACTTGCAACTTTGTGGTTGCAACAGTTTTTATGGGTGTTATTTTACAATTATATATTAGGAACCAGCTTTTCATGTCATAAATTTACATAACTTCCGTCAAGTGGACGGGTACTCCAGCTAGTCAACAAATATTTTTTTCCAGTTTTATTGTCTATATATATATATCATTTTATTCTTTCAGTACATAGATTAATAACAATATTAGTTTATACTTTTATTGCTAAGCATCACGACATAAAAGCCATTGTTGGAACGTAGTGTTAACAAAACGCACTGGCTTGTCTACATATTAGAAGTTGTTAATCTAACTGATTTTTACCAATAATTATTCTATGAATACGTCACGAATTCATTTCATGAATGTTCTTGATTTTGATTGGCTCACAAAAGAATTTATCGACTTTCCTGCCTCTTTGTTGGTGGAGCAGAATTTCGCAAAATTTATTTATTTCAGTTCGTTCTGAAATGCGAGGTTAGGGTATAATATGGGGTGGGGGCGTCATTTTTTGACGGGCTATACGCTATTAATAAATCATGGCATTAAAATAAGTAAATAATACCGTGTTATAAGTCCTTATTCTAATTTGGAAATGACTCAAGATATTGATAACACTACTCTCCGCCAACTTAATCTGACTGACTACCTGATCTGACTTAAGTTTAGTTCTGTCATGATGACTTTAGCTAGTCATCACCACCCACCGCCAACTCGTGGACTACTCTTTTACCAACGAATAGTGGGATTGACCGTCACATTATAAGGCCCCCACGGCTGAAAGGGCGAGCATGTTTGGTGAGACGGAGATTCGAACTCGTGACCCGCAGATTGCGAGACAAGCGCCCTAACCACCTGGACATGCCTGGCCATTTTGGTGCTAACTACCTAATATATCTTACAAGTTTTAGGTCTGACTACCTGATCTGTCTTACAGGTTTTAGTTGTAACTACCTAATCTGACTGACTACCTGATCTGACTTAAGTTTAGTTCTGGTTTGTTTTGAATTTCACCCAAAGCTACATGAGGGATATGTGCGCTAGCCGTCCCTAATTTAGCAGTGAAAGACTAGAGGGAAGGCAGCTAGTCATCACCACCCACCGCCAACTCGTGGACTACTCTTTTACCAACGAATAGTGGGATTGACCGTCACATTATAAGGCCCCCACGGCTGAAAGGGCGAGCATGTTTGGTGAGACGGGGATTCGAACTCGTGACCCGCAGATTGCGAGACAAGCGCCCTAACCACCTGGCCATGCCTGGCCATTTTGGTGCTAACTACCTAATATATCTTACAAGTTTTAGGTCTGACTACCTGATCTGTCTTACAGGTTTTAGTTGTAACTACCTAATATATCGTACAAGTTTTAGGTCTGACTACCTGATCTGTCTTACAGGTTTTAGTTGTAACTACCTAATATATCGTACAAGTTTTAGGTCTGACTACCTGATGTCTAACAGATTTTAGTTGTAACTACCTATTACAAGTTTCTGCAGATAGGGACGGATGTTACAATGAAAAAAACATTTCTGGCGTGGAAAAGACTGTTTGTTTTGGGGTTATCATAAAATTACAATGTGGGCTGTCTACGCTATGACCATCGCGGAGATCGAACGCTTAACTCTACTATGATTGTCGAAGCGATAGACCTGAAAAAAAAAGTTACTGAGTCGGTTTTCTTACAATTAGAATGGAAATTTTGAATTCTGTAAGATATTAAAATCCACTTCGGGGATTTTTCTTTATATTCAAATCCTCTAATTAACACTATTGCACATAATATATTCAAGATGGACTCTAAGAAAAAGTCTGATGAATCTTAAAGAAGATTACAATTTCATTCTGAAAATCTAGTTTTGGTGAATTATTACGTGACAAGAATACCTTGATGACATCATCAGTAAGGCAACTCGATCAATTTGTTTCCGATTTGACATCCCTAATTTAGCCAACCGTAATGTTTTTTCTTTGCACTATTTGTTCGATAGATTTTGCCTCTGGGTAACAACTGGTAACACCACCAAACTAAGTATTCGATATAATGATATCGTTATCTTTACTATTTGTGTATTTAATATATCCTCAGACAGCGCATAATCCTCTTCAGAGCATTATTGTATTACCATTAAATAACATGCGGAAGTATCTGGTTTAACTTCCGCTAGAACACATTTGCGGAAGTTAAGTTTATTTCGTTATTCGAATTCCGATTGCAACCATCAAAAGCAAGTTTACAATTTTCAAACACTATGGGTCATTACGGGAAACTTTCTATGATTAAGTTATGCTTTGGAACGAACCATGGCCATTTTGCTTGTTGCCAAAAATAAAATAAAAATGTATCCGGTGGTTTAACCAATTTTTCACGTGACCCAAAGAGATCCGAATTTGGAAAAGACCAGTCTTCTTTTGCATTAATTCAACCAAAAGGTCAGCATTATCCCTTATGCTCTCCATTTGTCAAAATTTTCCATCTTGATCCCCGCAATAAAGGCTTACCATCTACTTGTAGCGTTCATTCTACAGATTGAAAGCTAAACTTGATCTGGCTTCCAATCTACTTGTAGCGTTCGTCTTCTACAGATTGAAAGCTAAACTTGATCTGGCTTCTCTACTTGTAGCGTTCCTCTTCTACAGATTGAAAGCGAAACTTAATCTGACTTCCCAACTACCTGTAGCGTTCCTCTTCTATAAACTGAAAACCAAACTTAATCTGGCTTCACAACTACTTGTGTATATATACACACACAAAAACTTTCTAAACATGAATTTAGTAATTTTTGAAGTGTGTATATGTGTGTGTAGCTTTTCTATCTGTTCCTTTATGTTGCACCGTTTAACGTATAGAAATCTAATGTAACTTCATGTTTATTACCTAAAATTATTCCAACTATCAGACATGATGGATAATGTGTCAGTGGGGTCAATTTTGTTATCTCTGGAATTGTTTGTGGGTGGGGGTAGTCATGCTATGTACACACATGCATATATATATATACACACACACACACACAATAATAAATAGGCAAGTAGCTTTTCTTAATTCTTAAAGAAAAAGCATACTGACTGTATAATTTAGAGTTATAATAACGATTCACATTATTTCAATATTTCAAACTGGTAGCTCCGATGTCGTCACCAATTTATCAAATAAATCAGAGGTTATTTGATTACTCAGCTGGCTTTGTGTTATCATCAGTTCTGATATTTCAATTTTAATTTTGACCTTGTGACATCACCAGTTCTGGTATTTCAATTTTAAGTTTGACCTTGTGACATCATCAATTCTGGTGTTTTAATTTAAGTTTGACCTTGTGACATCATCAGTTCTGATATTTCAATTTTAAGTTTGACCTTGTGACATCACCAGTTCTTGTATTTCAATTTAAGTTTGACCTTGTGACATCATCAGTTCTGATATTTCAATTTTAAGTTTGACCTTGTGACACCACCAGTTCTGGTATTTCAATTTAAGTTTGACCTTGTGACATCATCAGTTCTGGTATTTCAATTTAAATGTGACCTTGTGACCTCATCAGTTGTGATACTGAACATTTAATTGTAGATCTAGTTATTTAGATCTCTAAACGCCAGTTCTTTGATTATATTATATAACTAAGTGTGACCTCGTGGCAATATGTTTTCTGATATCCAATTGTTAGCCTAACCTAATATATCTCTAATTGCAGACTTGACCATATGATATCGGCAACTTTTGATATTCCTGTACCAATTTTTATGAATAGAAATCGTGGTTTAGATTTGTATGTTTCCAACAACAATGATTCTTACCTGACTGTCTTCAATAGATGGCAGTGTCCCCGCATTGTGAAGATTGATGAGGTCTTGCTCGCTCAAGCCGTGATGACCAGCGTGCATTGCAACGTCCGGACGTCGGACACTGGCGTAAGTGGGATCTGTCCGACGGGCCAAATCATAGGATCCAGCAAGTCCGGGATGTACATTAGGTTGAAGGTGGAGAGGTTCATCCTCTCGTCGAGCTCCAAAAACATTGTGGGTTCGCTGTGGGGGGTGAAGTTGATGGTACTGTTGGGGGTGTTGTGCGGCCGCAAGACTATTCAAGTGAGTATAAGGGTCGGCGTTAACGTGAGGATGGTGAAACTCCAAATGTTGCTGTGGCATACTATAGGGTGGCGGGAAATAGGGCGGCTGGAAGTCGGCCGACGTGGGGGTGTGGGTGAGTCGAGGGGTGGAGCTGAAGGTGGCTGTAGAGCCTACGCTGCCGATGCTGGAAATGGGGACTAGATTGGCGGCGTGACCCCCTACCAAGTCTCGACGTTCCTAGAAAAACAATATAAAGTCAAGAGTAACTTCATAGTAGAACTGGCAGATATGGTTATTAAAAAACTTTTATTGGAAAAACACAAAATAATATTTATTGCTAAGTTTATGTTCCTGGTCAAGGAAGGATTTGTTTGTTTGTTCGAAGTTAAGCACAAAGCTAGACAATGGGCTATCTGCGCTCTGCCCACCACGGGTATCGAAACTCTGTTTCTAGCGTTGTAAGTGAGCGGACATAACGCTGTGACACTGGGGGTGCGTCAAGGAGGGGGGACCTTTCTTCTCAAAGTAATAATGAGCACTCCAACAAGATCACTAAAGATTTGAAAAAGTTACGGACTTACATAATATTACTTCGCCATCTCTCGTTCTACAAACATTTGTGAAACGGAATACGATGAGAAAAATATGATTAATAAGCATTCCGTACGGTAACAGAGTATGAATATAATAAGCATTCCGTACGGTAACAGAGTATGAATATAATAAGCATTCCGCACGGTAACAGAGTATGAATATAATAAGCATTCCGTACGGTAGCAGAGTATGAATATAATAAGCATTCCGTACGGTAGCAGAGTATGAATATAATAAGCATTCCGTACGGTAGCAGAGTATGAATATAATAAGCATTCCGTACGGTAACAGAGTATGAATATAATAAGCATTCCGTACGGTAACAGAGTATGAATATAATAAGCATTCCGTACGGTAACAGAGTATGAATATAATAAGCATTCTGTACGGTAACAGAGTATGAATAAGTTTTGATCCACATGAGAGAATGTGTGATGAACCTATCACTAATGGCCAGATGGTTAAGGTACTCGACTCGCAATCTGAGAGTCGCGGGTTCGAATCCCCGTCACACCAAACATGCTCGCCCTTTCAGCCGTGGGGGCGTTATAATGTGACGGTCCATCCCACTATTCGTTGGTAGAAGAGTAGGCGGTGGGTGGTGATGCCTTCCCTCTAGTCTTACACTGCTAAAGTAGGAACGGCTAGCGCAGATAGCCCTCGTGTAACTTTGCGCGAAATTCAAAACAAACAAACAAACAAACAAACCTATCACTAACCGGAAACCACACGAATCTCTACACATTACAGAAGAATAACCTAATCACTAACCAGATCACACGAATCTATACACATTACAGAAGAATAACCTAATCACTAACCGGAAACCAGATCACACGAATATACACATTACAGAAGAATAACCTAATCACTAACCAGATCACACGAATCTCTACACATTACAGAAGAATAACCTAATCACTAACCAGAAACCAGATCACACGAATCTATACACATTACAGAAGGATAACCTAATCACTAACCGGAAACCTGATCACACGAATCTATACACATTACAGAAGGATAACCTAATCACTAACCG